TTTAATGTTTAAAGCCCATTAAAGGCCCAAACCGCCTAAACCGGTCAGACCAGACCGCCTTTTCGTGGTCTGGTTTGACCGATCTGGGCACTTGGTTTCAAACCGCTCGGTCTGAAAATTTCACAAACCGCCATTACGGTTTGGTTTGTGGTCTGAGGGCTTAAACCGCCCAAACTGGACCGCAAACACCCCTAGTCAAACGTAGAATAGTGATCCATGTTCTATTCTGTCCAGTTTAGTGTACCACACACACCTGTAAGGTGACTTGTTCACATCTTAATTTCACAAACCTTGTGTAAATTTTGAAATGGTAACAATTAGGACAAGGAAGTGAAGTCGACAACCATCTATTGATTAAATGTTTTTCAAAAAAAAAAAAGGTAGCTACTGTTTATCAATGGATCGATAACTATCAAAATAAAAATTCAATTCTAAAGTCGATAAAATAATTGAAGCATAAGAAACAGAGTGGGAAATACAGCAGGTAGCTTTAATTGCAGGTACATACACATGTATCATGTCCACATCTATCAACCAAGTTTCATTTGGATACTTGCTTCCTTCCTTACCATTTTACCGCTTTTAAATGTCTAGAAGAATTTAAATGTATGCGTTCGATTTTGAATAAATAAATATTCGTCAAAAAAAGCCGATATGATGCATGTAGAACTCACCGGTCCAACTTGCAATCTTTCGTCCCATTTCTAGACTTCATACTTATCTCACACATCAAAACTTGTCACTTTCATTACGTCGACAACTTTTTAAAACATACCAACTCGATATTTCAAGAACCCATGCTCATTCATATCTACATTAGGCTTCCTATAAATTTTGACTGCATTTCCTTCACTTTCACAACCTCTCTTTACCTTCAAACTTTTAAAACTTCTGCATCCATCCAATTCACAAGAGGTGGAAGGAATCTGTGAAGGATCATGTGAGGAGAGTTAAGATGAGAAGCGTAAGAAGGAATTTGGACCTCTGTGAAGTTCATCTTTAATCTCAAATCCACCCATAAATAGCGCTAGATACGGGGATTGATCCAGTTCATCTCGGTATATCTCATTCTAATGTGCATCTAAGGTGGAGATCCCTTATTATGTTTCTCACTGGAACCCAACCCATATGTTTCATAATGTGATAATTTCACTTGTATATGTTTCACCTCTGTGAAGTTTCACATGTAATTTTAACATACGTAAAACAATATGTAAAATCATAGCTAATAAAATATCGATTCTCACATATTTGTAACATTTTTGTGGTTCTCATTTCTATCATCACATTATATAATATGTATATGTGCGTGTGTGTGGAGGGATGTTAACCATTCAGTCATAGCATGTGATGAGGTTTTGTTGTAGGGTCTTCTACATATTTCTGATGCGGGAGTAAGAGGGAAGAAATGGCCCCAATCTGAACATAAATGCACATGGATTGGATATAATTTGTTTGGAGGATACTTATAAAAAGTATCTGCAAAGATGAACATCATACCTCACAACAAACTATGTACCCAGCAATGAACATATCATTTATTCTTGATCCTAACAAGTTTTCATGCGGATTTAAACACAGGAGAAGTTAAGCGCAAATTGAGACAATAAGGGAAAAGCTTCTGCGGTAAGAGGGATGACGACGATTTAATTGTGTCAAGAGACTCTTTCTAAAGGGTAGATAAAACATATAATTCAAACTTCAAAACTTGACGACCCAAAAAGCATTAGCTTACCTACATTATTTTATAAAGCATTTAGATAAAACTTTTAAACTATAAGCAGACGAAATCAAATCGAACACAAATAGGATATGGAAACGAGACATGTAAGCAGACCTTATAAATAAATGGAGTTGTAGAAGGGGCTATTTCCATGACTCACATTATCGACTTGTAAAACTAATTTAAACAAAAGGATTTTTGGACCAAACAATTAGTCCCGAAAGTTTGACAAAACTAGAGAGATAAAAGATAGAAGCTAGAAATGTGAGTCAGCATTATCAAAGAAATAGTAATAATAAAGATCTACGAAGAAAATTCAAAATTCACATATCAGCACTTATAGCCGGTTTGGAATGGATTGAGAAAGTGTACCTGGGAAATCGATGATATACGTGTGAACTATAATTGAATTATAGCTCATTGCAGGAAGCTTTCATTAATCTGTTTTTACATCTTCAATTTCCGTATGCTTAGTTTAATCTCACTTCTCCCCCCCCCCCCCCCAAGTTTTACTAAAGCGTAGAAGTCAAATACCTCTCACAGCCAATCGCTTTGGATCCTACCCTACTTGACGCTAAATACAATTTAGTTTGTAATAAGATATTAAGAGGTAATAGGACTATTATCTGCGGGTCTCGACAACTACCAATAATTATCAACACCGCAGTTATGATGATAATCACGGTTAAACTATAGAAATTGCAAGGACTTCAAAAACTAGAGAGATTTTGTTTCTATAGCAACACCATGTCTAGAAAAAACTAGTGAAGAGAATGGAACTTCAGTGTAGAAAGTCAAGTATATTACTATACACAGGCATTTGTGACAGCCTTGAAATTGTCGTTGTGGACATAATTGGGACACATGACACCTAAAGCAACAATTCTGACCATAGTGACTATTTAAACAGGTACCATTCAAAGCAACCATCACTAATAGCTTTCACAACTGCTCGAACCAATCCCCATCATGGTTTCATCTTTCTCTAAGTGAACCAACTTTTATGTTGCCATAATGAATAACTAAGAAAATAAAACCCAAAATCGAGAACAAACAAATGCTATCCATTCAAACCCCTGGATCTCATGCCCCTAAAGAATCATAAAAGCTTATCATGATTAAAGTCACATGTTTGCCACTCGCATCTTTAGTGAACATCATGTAAATGTCAAAACGATATGGGTATGCAAAAATACAACCAGAATGTAACATCTGAGGCGATATGATGACCAAAAAGAAAGAAAAGGGTCATTTGGTTCCAATGAAATTGGAAGCAAAGTTGGCAGAGTCTAATGATCTGATGCTTTGATCTTGAAAGCAGCTATAGATCATGTTCATTGGCCAGGGACTAGCCAATGAATTGAGGTAATTGAAGTAAGCTGGAAGCTTTAATTGCAAGCCCCTACATGTAAATCATAATATTGTACGGTATATCTTGTTAAGCACATCAACAAAACCAAATTTCATTCGAATTCTTGCTTGACTGCCATTTCAAAATATCTACTAGATATTAAAAGATCTACACTTTTGCAATATCGACACCAATAAATATCTTTTCAACAAGCCAAAACAATGCATGCATCTAAGAGAGAGAGAGAGAGATAGATAGAGAAAGCACCTGTTCAAGTTGAACAGCAAGTGGTGAGGAAAGTTTATTGCAATTCTTTATCTCCAGCGGTCCAACTTCAAGACGTTGCAATCTTCATCCTGTTTCTAGACCCCGGTCCTGCCCCCTCCAATTTGATACATTTCTAATACATTCAAACTTGTCACTTTCATGAGGTCGGCAACCCTTTAAACTACATAAACTCAATGAGACTCGTATTTGAAGAATTCATGCTTGTAGATGAGTTTCAGGTGTGTAACTAAACATAATCTAATTTAACTTGCCTAATATCTCTAATTACTTGAGGGCTATGTAAGAAAACTAATAACATGGTGAAGCCCAAGTTAGCTAAGAAATTGGATCTACCAACTAACTAAACTGGAAAATTATTGAAAAGGAAGGATGCCAACAGAAGCCCCGTTCAGTAATTAAGTAAAAATGAAAAAGAAAATCAAACATTGTGGCGCATATCCTTCAACGTAGGACGGCTAAAGGTTGCATGATTGCACGTTGTTAAGACCTACTTGGAAGATATTTTGGCAACAGACTTGATCACCCTTCATCCAGATAAAGACGAGCTTTCATATCTTTTCATTAATTATTGCTGGTGATCATCTAAGACGAAAAGTTTATATAAGATAAACCTCATCGATATCTACATTCAGTTTCCTATAAATTTGGAGTGTTTGCTCCACTTTCATAACCTACCTCTTTAGCTTCAAACTTTGAGCTAGACAGAGTTCTCTTTACTACCCCCAATTAAAACTTCTACTGCCATTCAGCAAAAAAATATACAAGATATGGAAGGCGCATATTCGACCAACTCTCGAGCACAAAACGCTATCCTAATAATACTTCTCTACACGGCTTCCTCCATCAGTTTCATCTCAGCCCTCAAGAAAACAAACGTCGAATTCATCAGATCATCATGCAGTTTGACGGCTTACCCTACACTCTGCTTCAACTCACTGTCAACTCAAGCAGGTGCAATCCAAACAAGCCCTAAGCTACTAGCGCAAACAGCTCTATCTGTCACCCTTGACACCACCCGCTCCACCTCCTCAGCAATGGTAAAATTGTCACAAGTGCATGGCATGATTCCTCGAGAGGTTGCGGCCATGAAAGACTGCATTGAGATGCTAAGTGACTCTGTTTACGAGTTGAATAGATCACTCAAGGAGATGAATCGACCGGGTTCTAAGGATTCCGGGCTAGTGATCAACGACATACAAACATGGGTCAGTTCCGCAATGACAGATGAAGACACATGCTCTGAAGGATTTGTGAATGACCCAAAAATGAAAAGTGTGGTCAGAGGAAAGATTGTGAATGTTGCACACTTGACCAGTAATGCTTTGGCTTTGATCAACAGTTATGCTAGCTTCTCTAAGCATGAAATTCAGAGAAATTAGAGCTATAATGGTAGGATGTATTTCAGGAATCATAAAACAAGGCAGCTGAAAGGAAACATGAACTGAAGCAGCTAAACTTCAAGCACATAAGCAGAAGTTATAGCTCAATTTTTTTATTTTAATTCCCTTGTAACAATGTGTGAATTATGGCAAATTATTGCTAGCCTAGTTTCAAATGCAATGTACTATTGAGTAAGCATATGATCATGTCTCCTATTGCTTTCATACTTTATGTAAACTGGAAATCTAAAATGAAAAGGAAGTTGTTTAAGAATGCTATCCACTTTCTAAAGCTCTGCATGCTGAACACAAGGGGCCAGAAAACTAATAGCATACCATATAAGAAAACATACTTTCTCCTATTTCACTATGAGGTGTATTTTCTCATAAAATAGCCAAAATATAAATAAGGGGATGTCACTCACTCGGTCCCAGCATGTGACCACTTTTTGTTGTTATACATTCTTTTACATTTATAAAAGATTTCTAATATGGGAAGGAAATGGTCCCATGTCCCCTGGGCCAATCTCAACATCATTGCAAATGGATATAATTTGTTTTATCTATACTATCTTATAAAACATTTAGATAAAACACTTAAATTTTAAGAGCATAAAATATACAAACCATCAAGTACAAGTCACTAATCTATTTAGATTATGAATAAGGAATACATAGGTTTTGCCGTTTTGGAAAACCCATATCACTATTGATCCCTCTCCAACAGTTATGCTAGCTTCTCTAGGCAGGCAATTCAGATAAATTAGAGATATAATGGTTGGATCTATTTCAAGATCATAAAACAAGGCAGCTGAAAGGAAACATGAAGTGAAGTAGCGAAACTTCAAGCCCACCAGCAGAAGTTATAGCTCAATGTAGCAAAAAACCCAAATTTTGTGTTCTAATTCCTTGCAACAATGTGTGAATGTATGGCAAATTGTTGCTAGCCTAATTGCAGCTGCAATGTACTATTGAGTGAACATATTATCATGCCTCATATTGCTTTCCTACTTTCCGTAAATTGGAAGTCTAAAATGAAAATGAGGAAAGTTCTTTAAGAATGTTATCCACTTTCTAACTCTTACATTATGACAAGGGCCCAGAAAACTAATAACACACCATATAAGAAAACATACTTTATTTGGTATTCTTAACATGATTTATTATCATATATAGAACATAAAAGTATATATATATATATATATATATATATATGAAATTATAAATAAAGTATACTATCAAATCTTAAAATACATGTATATGTCCTTTAGTTTGCTTCCATGACAATGGGGATGGAGAGAAAAAACTGAACTGCCAATCACGAAAATAAGACTAACCAAAGCTCAACAACCAGTAATCTTTTATGTTGGCTACAAGTAATGTAGAACAGTTCTGTTTGACGATATTAGAGTTTTTTGGTCCCACGCTACCCCCATATGAATGAGAATGCAAGACACTTATGGTGATTCAAAAAATATATATTCGAAATCGAGTGTTTAAAACACTCTCCTAACATGACAAGATATGTTAAAAAATAAACTTTTAGTGTTCTTATAACAGAAAAACTCATAGGAAGCTAAAAAAAACAAACCAAATCAAACGAAACGGGTTATCCATCTCAAAAGCAAGGTTGGGGGTGGGATGTACACAGACCTATCCTCTTTTAGTTTTCCTATAGCGGTAAAACTCAGGAAGCTAAAAAACCAAACCAACTCAAAAGAACTGGTTATCCATCTCAAAAGCAGGGTTGGGGTGGGATGTACACAGACCTATCCTCAACCCCAAATGGTAAAACAACTCTTTTCATGAATACCCCAACTTGTGTAAAAATGCAAGTTATAAGGAAAGAAGAACCAAATGGCAAATCTAACCCAATTTCTTATTGGAAAACAATGTTGTAGTTAGTACTGAACATCGAAATAAGCTTTTTTGTTATTATTGGAGCAAAAGGGGTAATTCTACAACAGCACTTGCAACATGACTTCTTTAAACATCCAAAACCCCACACTCAATTAGACAAACTTTTTGTCTCCATTCATTCACATACAATCCTGCATGCCTACTCAAGCAGTGAATTGGCTTTTCTATGGGCTCACAAGCACGGTCGTTTCCAATTCATTTTTATAGCTAATAGAAGTGTTGAAAAACATAAATCATAGATGAAGTAATTTTCGGCCTTGAGAAATTTATAAAATGATCTCCTAAGTAGATTTTTTGGCTACGCCCGGGAGCCAAAATATTGCTAATTTACCTTGAAAGATTATATATATAAACTCTAGTGGAGCCTTTAATTTCCATTCATCTCCTTCAAATGCATCTGTACATGTATCATCATCAGTCATGGCTACACTCACCCATGTGATGACCTTCGCAACTCCACAAAATCTGGACAATCCAACTCCTTCATAACCACTAACCACCATTGATTTATGTATCTGATACACAGAATGAGAATTGAAAGGTCACAGTCAAGACGACTCCGCCAGTTCCGTTGGGCTTCTTGGATGATACTTGAATAGGGGGATAAAGTGCTAAAGCACAAGTCATGGGACGTAGTAGTATGACATGATAATTTAAGGAAGTAGGCTCGAGTGAAAGTATAGGTGGCTGATTTGGTGAAGTTGTAAGAATGACAGGAGAAAAGGATGGACAAAAGGGGTAGCTTAGAACAAGTAAAATGTCCCATTTCTGGCGGATCTAGTGTGTGAAATATGTGGTTCTGCACCTTTTTGAACAAGAGAAAAAGGTGTGTAGGGTTAAAAATGCACTATTGTTCTATGTGTGCACTGGTTGCTGTGACATCCTGTTCCCCGGGGCATCATCCTTTGCCCTAAGTACAAGTGAATGAAAGAAACTTCATATCTTAAACTTTAATTTCATTATAATAGAGTTATTACAGCAGCGGAAATGCAGAAATTTACAACTTATGATATTCTAACATCTTAGAATAGCAACACTTCAGCTTGTTCCTACTCCTTGATTCCTAAAATACATATATGAATACATAAGCTTTAAGCTTAGTGACTAGTTATGGTTTCATGATAAAACATTCTTTCCAAATAGTTAAAATAATTCTTATGAACTTTAACATATTAAAACATTTCTTTGAGATCTCATGGTTACATGTTAAGTAAACCAGCTTCTCACTGGTTCTTTAACCTCGGTCCACATAAGGGCTGCCCAATAAGGTCCGTGCAAGACGTACCTTCTTTTTACATCCCATATGTTAGATATTTAAATGGTTATACTTAACATGTATAAAAACATTCATATACCACATGTGCATCATAACATAAAAGGTGTACTTCGCCACAAAATCTATAACATAACTTTTACAAGAAGATATGCCAATACTCTTTCATGCATAAAACATTTATATATATATATATATATATAACAGATTTAGGAATTATGTTGCGTTTCTTATGCATTCTTGACAGAGAAGCATACAATATAGATGCACAAGGCAAAGGGAAAGAAAATGAAACTATTCTATGAATCCCTGATTTTATGGGATTGCCTAAAATCACTAATATTGTGGGATTATAATCAGCTCCCATTACTCCTACATTAAATACATAATCATTTACATTTTTACATTTTCCCACACTCCCCCTCAAGCTGCCAGCTTGGATAAAATTCTCTCGAACATCGGTCTACATAGTCCTTTGGTGAAAACATCTGCTAGTTGTTCATGAGTAGCCACGAATGGAGTACAGATTAAGGCACTGTCTAGCTTCTCCTTGACAAAATGTTTGTCAACTTCAACATGCTTTGTTCGATCATGCTGAACTGGATTGTGAGCTATGTTTATTGCTGACTTATTGTCACAATAGAGCTTCATTGGTCCCTCCCAATTGATCCTTAGATCGTTTAAGATGATTTTTAGCCACAATAGTTCGCATAAACCATTTGCCATTGCCCGAAATTCGGCTTCAGCACTAGATTGTGCAACCATGCTTTGCTTCTTGCTTCTCCATGTCACAAGATTTCCTCAGAGAAAAGTGCAATACCCTGTTATCGATCTACTGTCAACTGCATCGGTGTATGCTTCAAGAGTTACACGGTTATTTCTTTCAAACAGGATTCCCTTCCCCGGTGCTCCTTTGAGATACTGTAAAATCCGGCATGCGGCTCGTAAATGGGTTTCCTTTGGGTTATGCATGAACTGAATGACCATGTTTACAACATAAGCTATGTCAGGTCTAGTATGAGACAAATATATAAGTTTTTTTCCATACAAGTCGTTGATCCATTTCTTTGTTCACAATTGCATCTTCTTCTACATTTCCCAGTCTATGATTCGGGTCTATAGGAGTACTAGCAGGTTTGCATGCACTTTGACCTGTTTCCATGAGCAAATCTATAACATACTTCTGTTGGGATATAAAAATTCCTTTTCTTGAATGAGCAACTTCAATTCCAAGAATAATACTTCAATCTTCCTAATGTCTTGATCTCAAATTCTTTGGCTAGACATAGGCTCAGGCTTTGATGCTCTTCTTTATCATCTCCTTTTACAATGATATCATCCACATAAACCAGTAGCATTGTTATTTTTCTTGTTTTTGAGTGCTTGATGAACAGAGTGTGATCCCCTTGACTTTGTTTATATCCCAAAGTTAACATACCGCTGGTAAATCTCCCAAACCATGCTCAAGGAGATTGTTTAAGCCGTATAGTGCATTTTTTAACTTACGCACCGTATTGGGTTTTGTTCCTTTTCCATAACTAGGTGGAACATCCATATAGATCTCCTCCTCAAGTTCTCCATGCAAGAATGCGCTTTTTACATAAAAATTGATGCAAATCAAGATTAGAAGCTAGAGATAGAATTACCCTAACTGTATTCACTTTTGTATTCATTTTTGCACCAGGTGTGAATGTCTCAATCTAACCACCTCCCAAGTTTTATTCTTTTCAACTGCTTCCATTTCCACATTCATGGCTTGCTTCCAATTTTCATTAGATAATGCCTCAGATAAATTTGTAGGAATGGAAATGGAGTTGAGGTTGACAAGAAATGCTTTGTAGGTGGGGGAAATTTTTGGAAAGAGGTGTAGTGTGATAAGGGATACAATGGTCTTTTTGTGCACTCTCTTGTTCCCTTTCTAACGGCAATAAGCAGAGAGTGGTCACTTGTTTGAGATTCAGTTACGCTTTGCAAGGGTATAGAGTCAGAAATTTTTACCTCGTTTGAAGGACCAGTATCAGATTCTCGGACTTGCTCAGGTCCAAGAATGTTCTTTTGTCTTGACTATACCAGGTTCTTCC